ACTTGATCTTGGACTTCCCAGCCTCCAGATTGTGAGAAATTTCTGTTGTGAGAAATTTTTGCTATCCCTCAGTCTCAGGTATAGCAGCAAGAAAGGACTAAGACACCTGAGATATTGCAATAGACTCTTAACTACTTTCTCTGCTGCTGCCTTTACCTCCTTTTTATGTCCACAGAATCATCTTAACATGTAACAAAGTTCTATCCCTCCTCTGCACAAAGCTTTCCAGGGGCTCCCATCTCACTCAGAATAAAATCCATGGCCCACAAAACCCTAGGTGGTCTGCCTCCCCCACCTCCCCACGATCTCTCTGATCTCTTTCCACCTCTATCCCACCCCCTTGCTCACTCCGATATAGCCACCCAGCGGCCATCTGTCCTCTGTGATGTTCCTCTGATGGGTTAGCACCCTGAGTCCCCCACCTGTGCACTAGCAGAGCCCTCTGCTGGACACACTCTTCCCTGGAGATCTGGGAGGCACTCTACCTCATTTCTTTCAGGTCTCGCTGCTAGAATGTCATCTCATCAAAGAGAACATTCCTTACCAACCTATCTAAAATGGCACTCTTCTACACCTCTTTATTGTTTTACCCTGCTTTATTTTTCTGCATAGCAATAATCACAACTTGATATTTATCATCTGACTTCCCCCACTATTATATACTCCCTATAAGAGCAGGAATTAACTGTCTTTGTAGTTGCTGATCCCTAGTACCTAGAAAACTGCAGACGTATAGTAAGCACTTAAAAAAATTAGAATGACCAGCAAGATGATTATTTGGAACAAAGGTCACACTGCATTTTGAGGTGATTCAGAGTGGCAAACTGGCAGCCAATGTGTTAAGGAAGCCTTCTGTAGTTCAGAATGCTTTGGGAATGCTGCATGCGTTCAGCTACACTCATAGACTTACTCATGATATAAGGCTTTTGGAAAGAGAGTGTCCTAACTGGCTTTATGAAAGAATGACAACATCCATCCAGGAAGATTTCGGAGAGAAACACAGAGCCCATCTTGAAAAAGACATTGTTCATTACTGCTTTCTGAGGACTGAAAGAGTACCAAGGCTTGTCCCTGAGTCAAGGCAGCACGAAATATTCTCCTGAAAGCATATTATCTTTGCTTGTTCTTACCCAAGAAGCTGAAAGTACAATCCTGGACTGGAGATTTTTAGAGACCACATTGACCTTGACACATGCCAAAACAGGATGAATTAATTATAATATCTTACAAATATTTTAAAGAAAGAAGACTTTGAGTTTATTAACTCTCATTAGAAAAATTTTGTTTGAAACCTGCGGAGAAGGAAGACGCTGTTTTTCTTTCTCTATAATAGTTAGAAATGTTTAGAGATGAGCATAGTATTTAAATCTTTGGGATATGTAAAATTGTATTTGACAGCATTTTTAGACTAGGCATTAAGAATACTTTAATGTGTTTGTCTATTGCATTAATTTTAATTATACTCCACTGGACTCACATGCTTTGAAATGCTTTATTGAATGCCCCCAAGATCTTGTACTAATCATAATACAAGCCACACCAAATTTAAATTTCTAGCACCGGGTAGCATCAGCTTGCCTGAGAGCACCCTCTTCTGTTTCAAGAATGTACTGCAAATTACATTTCATGGAGTTCACAATGCTGGGTTCTACAAAAGGGGCTTCTCAGCAAAATGGCAACACACGCAATCATATTATCTAAAGAAGCCACTCTTCCCTCTGAAGTTTGGAAGGCTGTGCGAGTGCAGATACATGAAGGGGAAACAGCAAAACCCAGAGTCTAATGATGCTGTGCCTTTCTTCCCCAGGAAGTCTCATGGAAATGAACTGAAATATTTTAAAACATGGGGCAATTAATCTAATCAGTTTTCCTTTTCCTTACAGATGAAACATGATTTTAAAGGCACAATATTACTTGTAGCTTGTATCTATGGTTTTTTGTAATTCAACTATTTGCTTCTTGACTAGCAACTCTGTCTTCCTTTAAAAATTAGAGTCAAATTCATATTTCAACACCATTTCTAAGCAGGATAACGAAAAATGCTTGTATCATATGACCCAGGGAAATATAGGGATAATTAGATTGAGCCCGTGAAATTCCCATCAAGAAAGGTAAATATTGGCGATTACATATGATTCAACAGAATACATATAGCCCTATGTTTTAGGGCCCTGGCTAAGGGTATAAGTTCCTTGGAATACAGTAGCTGCAGAGGATGGGTAGGGTCTAGGAGAGACAACATCAAAATCTACCCTGTGTCTACACAAAAGTGGTGGGACAGTCTAGCCAGAGTTGAGACAAAACAGGAAAGAATTGATGGATGGGATTTTGAGGACTGTTGTTACAAATACAGTCAGTTTTTGCCACTCAATCCTTTTGTCGTTCCTGAAGAACTAGGACCAAGCCTTGTGAGTCCTAGCAGTGGCTAAAATGGTGCTTCATTTCTGTCTTCCATGAAGTACTGATGCCATTTTGAAATATTAACTTTAGTAGCTAAATAAAAATGTAATTTCAACACAAGGCAGATTTCTTGTAAAAAGGAGGGTGGAGAGGTTGTTAGGTCGGTCCTTTATAAGCACTGATTTACCTTCATATCTCCTATGGTCTCCCTCCACTCCCCCACAACTTCCCTCCACCCCCGCAACTCCCTACCACCCACACGTATACCTTACCTGAAATATATTCTGTACAATTATGTAAAACTGGTTTTCTAAACTTTAAAAACATGGCTTTTAGGTGCACATTAATTCTACAGGACTACTCTACAAGTTGCCAAAGTTTGAAAATTCCATGGAATACTGTGGACAAAGTTTTTCCTATTTTCAAGGAAAATTTGTGAAAGGCTTTGAGTAGTAGTAATCTTATGCATGTATTCATTTCATTTTTTTAAATTTTATTTTATTTTATTTTTGAGACAGAGTCTCGCTCTGTCGCCAGGTTGGAGTGCAGTGGTGCAATCTCAGCTCACTGCAAGCTCTGCCTCCCGGGTTCACGCCGTTCCCCTGCCTCAGCCTCCTGAGTAGCTGGGACCACAGGTGCCGGCCACCATGTCTGGCTAATTTTTTTTTTGTTTGTATTTTTAGTAGAGACAGGGTTTCACCATGTTAGCTAGGATGGTCTCGATCTCCTGACCTTGTGATTCGCACACCTCAGCCTCCCAAAGTGCTGGGATTACAGGCGTGAGCCACCGCGCCCGGCCTCTTATCTTTATGAGTCATGATTATACCCTATTTTTAAAATCATCTTTTATAACATTATCAACTATACTTTAATGATGTCATTTTTCCAGGATATGCCAAGAGGTCATGGTCACTGACTCCTTAAGATTGGAGTCTGACATATGCCTGACAGAGAGTCAATTGTTTAAGGTTATTGAAATTGATTTCATACCTTAAGAAAAAAAAAGAACCCCAGGTCTTGCAGAAGAAGATATACATTCACAGCACAGTAAGAATCATTTGAAATACATTTTTAATTTTTGAAAAATCAACATTTAATCTACAAAATATTTTGTTACATGATTATTAAGGCTCAACCTGTTTTGTATTTGCATTGACAGAATATAAAACCATACTTTAAGTAAAACATTATAATACTCATTGTTAAGAAAGGCCTTCTAACTGAATTTATAAGAAAAGGGGCTGTATCACAAGCATAGCTCTGGAATGAAGGGAACTAACATCCTAGAACTGTCTAATATATACATCAGGTTGTAAAATTCCAGCCTTTATTTATGTGCTGGAAAGTATCTTTTTTACATATCTTTTTTTAATGGATGAACTCTTGTGATTCCCACAGAAAAAGGAAATGTCCTTAAATTTAGATCTGCACAAATGATCTACCCATGAATTCATTTACACTGTTAATGTGATCCTGTAACTGGAAAAGTGAGCAGACGAGTCACAAACTGGTCAGCTCCTTGGAAGTCTGCTCATTTGACTCCAAAATGGCCAAACTCACAATGGAATGATCTAAAGCAAAATGAATGCTAGAAAGGAATCTTTCCTCCCTCATTCCTTTCCTTCCCCGCTTCCCTCCCTTAAAAGCAAGGGTTTTTTGAAGATCACTATTCCAGCAAGGGCAGTTCTACTTAATTTGAATCCTACCTGATTTTTCACCTAGAGTTCTGTAGTCACATCTGACCTCTTGCCAGTTCTGAGGTCAGAAGAATTGAATAAGCCTCCCCTCTCTACACAGAATGTTAATTTAACACTAAGTAATGAATATTTAAGGATCCTAATAGATGTGCGAATTAACAATTATGCCGTAACACCCCGCTGTTAATGCTATCAGCCTCTGCATTGCCACAGACACTCCATTTGGGCTTTAGTCCAGCTTTTTTATATTGTCAACACTGAATCTTGAGATGTCCTGTAGGCCCGGTGGCTTGTGAGTGAATAACCCTGGCAGGGAGGGATACTAGTCGACCTGTGAAGCATGGGGGACAATTAAGTGAACCCTCTGCTGAATATATTTTGAGGTGTAAATAGTCATTAAGTTCATCCTAATCAGACTGTGAGTTCTTTGTCGCAGGATGCCATAAAACACACTCAGAAAAGAATGGCAGTAATTAACCCAGCTAACTTCACTGGGACCGTGGGTAGCATCAGTTTCGGCCTGCCTCCATATTTGTTCTGAGCAGACTGAAGTCACTCTAGAGTGCGCCCACATCAGATGATAAGAAAAGATGGTAGCCGGGCGCGGTGGCTCAAGCCTGTAATCCCAGCACTTTGGGAGGCCGAGACGGGCGGATCACGAGGTCAGGAGATCGAGACCATCCTGGCTAACACAGTGAAACCCCGTCTCTACTAAAAATACAAAAACTTAGCCGGGCGAGGTGGCAGGCGCCTGTAGTCCCAGCTACTCGGGAGGCTGAGGCAGGAGAATGGCGTAAACCCGGGAGGCGGAGCTTGCAGTGAGCTGAGATCCGGCCACTGCACTCCAGCCTGGGTGACAGAGCAAGACTCTGTCTCAAAAAAAAAAAAGAAAAGATGGTGGAATTTTTTTAAATGACATACACAGATTTGCCCTACTCTATATCAACAGTGAGCCTCAAGCATATGATATCATAAGCAAGGCATCAAATGCAGTTTAAAAGAGAAATAGCAGCCGGGCATGGTGGTTCATGCATGTAATCCCAGAACTTTGGGAGGTCAAGGCTGGCGGATTACCTGAGGTCAGGAGATCGAGACCAGCCTGGCCAACATGGGGAAACTCCATCTCTACTAAAAATACAAAATAATTTTAGCTAGGCATGGTAGCTTGCACCTGTAATCCCAGCTACTTGGGAGGCTGAGGCAGGAGAATCGCTTGAACCCAGGAGACGGAGGTTGCAGTGAGCCAAGATCATGCCACTGCACTCCAGCCTGGGCAACAGAATGGGACTCTGTTTCAAAAAAAGTAAAAAATAAAAACAGTAATAGCAATTCCTTTCAACCAACCATCACCTTTTGCATCCTTTGCCTTTAGAGTAAAATAATGAAAAGCAATAAAATCTGCTGATTGATACAGACCATCATAAATGTTTGTCTTAATCTGTTTTTGAACAGATTGCAATGGATGTAACATAATATTAAATAAAACACATGAAATAAACTCTGTAGGCCAACACATAAATGTTGTTTGGAAGAACATTAAATCAGTTTTGACTCAAAACAAATCTAGCAAATAGAAAAAAAATCTCCTAATTATGTTTAAGATTCAACATAAATTGAAGGCATATTAATACCACATGGGGGAGTTTGTTTTTCAGACTAAAAATAAATCTGGAAAATAGATCCCATGCATTTTAAAATTCTCACTTTTCACTGTAAATGCTAAAAGGAAATTATAAATGGAATTATAGCTACTAATGCTATTGACTTTTCATTAAAAACCAAACCTTTATAGTCATTTACCTGACTCTGAAGAATAAAAATGTTGCCTCTTAGAAATCTGGGTAAAGTACCAAGTATCTTTCACTTTGCTCACCTTAATGAAAAATACTCCAAAATAAGCAGAATTAGCATAAAATAGCATGATAGCAGAACTAGTATAAAATAATCATCATGTGATTTAGACTTCTACTCAAGAGAGGCTTGTGTTCATTACAAATAATACTTTATCAAAATATATCCTTAGAGTCTGTACTTTTGGAAAATAGTATTTATAAATTTTAAAAATTCATCTTTAATATCTATAAATATTTTAACTAGTGTCTAATACTCAGATTCCATTTTGAAAGGAATCCTGCCAAGTGAAAGGAAATACGTCTTAGTGATTTATACTAAAATATGTAGGACAACAGAAATAGCTTCTTTGCAGCACACACTAGAATACAAACACATTTTGAAAATGACAATACAGTAGGAGAGAGACAGGTACCAAATATAGCCAATTATTACTTACCAATGTGGTAAGAGGACAGGAAAATAAGTAATTCAAAAGCACAGATACTTCCAAATCTACATTTTAGCCTGTAGTTTCAACATCATTCTATACCTAGCCACATTTCAGAGGCAAGCAAGAGGGAAAATTAAGTATTTTGGTGTATGTCTCCTTTGATTCCCTCACCCTCTAGTACAGGCACTAACCAGCAAGAAGAGATGGGAAAAAATAAAGACGGCACCTCAGTAATCCAGGGAGCAAAATAATCAGCCACTGAGTAATCAAAAATCAAACTGGCTGCAGGGTCACACAATGAGTAACTGTGCCTTTGAGTTTCAATAGGAAGCAAAACATCACACAAATTATAGAAACATTTTAGATCAAACCCCTAGGACAAAAACATATGAAAAGCATAAAACACAGATTGTTCAGTTTTAGGTCTAAACTTCTCTAAACACAGCCATCAGACCTGTCTTAAAACCACTGTTCAGAAGTCATTTCCACTCTACAGTAGCAGGACTTGGTGTCGGTGAATTACGTATTTGACAAGTGGGCTGTCATCATAAACTCTCGCTACTCCTACTGAGTTATGCAGTCACCAATTTTATCTGGGTCTTCTCCATCGATTTTAATCCACTTCTTTTCTATTTCAACCTGTTATGCAAAAGCAAAACACAGGCAGCATTAACAAATGCAACGCAGCACTCACACCTCTTCAGTCCTATTTTATACATGCGGCACAGACTGCACAAACCTCACCCTTCGGACACAGACACAGCCCTCTACCCTCCTACAGCAGCTTCCAAGTGAGGCACTCTGCTCTCCTTTTGAACAACAGAGCCCCCCTACAAATCCTCCCCGCCAGGGTTAAAACTTCAAGAGCACCAAAACTGTCTTCTAAGTCAAACATAGTTTTTATAAAATGTGTACAGAATACATATATTGAGAAAAACATTTACAGATCTGACTAGACATATGACCAATTATCCCTCCCCCTGAATATATGGCTGTATCTTATATCTAGCCATTGGCTCCCCTGAGATTTATAATGCACCCAAATTATCTAACTGAAACAAACCAGCTTACAAACTATTAGGTTGGTGCAAAACTAATGGCAAAAACCGTGATTACTTTTGCAGCAAACTAATAGTAAGCCAGCTGGGCCAAACCATCTGCTCTTCATCATTTTTGTCTCAGCTCAAACGTCACATCCTCCCGGAGGTACTCCAGGACTACTCCAGATAAAGTCCTCCAGTCGTTCTCTATCCTGTTACCCTATTTTATTATCTTCTTATAATTTGTCATTAGTTGAAATCATATTATTTATTTATTTATCTACTAACTGTTTTTCATTTCCCCCCACTAGAAACTATGCTCCATGAGGACAGGGACTTTGTCTCTCTGTTCACACTGCTGTGTCCCTGCATGTGGAGCGGTATCTGGCACTTTAAAACTGTAACAGAGAATTACTGAATGGAAGAAAACATTTTGAAACTGCCGCCAGGTGCAGATCAACTAGTAAATGCCATTAAAGCTAGAGATACTTTGTAATTTTTAATTGTCCACTAAAACTGCATGAAGCTGGCACGTCCTGTGAATACGAAAGTAAGTATAAATGTAGTCTCCATGCGAACTTAACCTACATTTCAGTCACACATAATAGTTATATACCTAGTGTTACAGGTCAGGTTCCCCAAGAAATAGACTCTGAGATGGAGATCCGTGTGCAGAAAGTTTACTGGAGAGTGCTGTTGAGTTCAACATTCACGGAAACATTGCAGGAAATGAAGCTAAATGGGCAGAGAGAGAAGCTGGGCTGCCATGTAGTCAGAATGAAGGCTTCTGCCCATGCCCTGGAGAGCTGAAGCTGGGCTGACCTACAGAGTTAGCCCAAGTTGATGCAAAGGTGTCTGTCCACCCCTGCCTAGATTCCAGGAAGGAGACATGACTTCGGGGAAGGCAGCTATCTTCAGCCGAGGCAATTTCCACATGCTGGGGAAATACATCCTTCAGGTCACAGCACTACCTATCACTACCTTTATCAGCAGAAAAAGGTAACTGGACCCAAACATAGACTTCTAAACAGATAGTCCAAAAATAAAGAAAAATCCTGACTCACATTACTATAGTATAGGAAACCCAGTTGATATTAACGATGTCATCTATAATACCACTATTTTTAATAGAAATAAAAGAGTAGGAAATCAGAATGGCATTAATCATTGCTGCAAGTCAAGCAACACATAGATTTTAAAATGCTATTCGAGGGGCACATGTTCTCAGGACCTCCTGAGGGCTGTGTCGCAGGCAAAATTTAAATTTTTAAAAAATAAAATAAACGATACTAGAAATTATAAAATGTTGCTCATGTGAAAGTCAGAAGGGAAACATAAATTCTAAACTGAACCACCTGTCTGTAATGCAATGTCTAATTTTTGTGATTTTTGAAATATTTTCTAGTTAAAAAATACGTTTAGGTCACGTGTGGTGGCTCACACCTATAATCCCAGCACTTTGGGAGGCCGAGGCAGGCGGATCATGAGGTCAGGAGTTTGAGACCAGCCTGGCCAGCATGGTGAAATCCCATCTCTACTAAAAATACAAAAAATTAGCCAGGCGTGGTGGCAGGAGCCTGTAACCCTAACCACTCGGGAAGCTGAGGCAGGAGAATTGTTTGAACCCAGGAGGTGGAGGTTGCAGTGAGCCAAAATCATGCCACTGCACTCCAACCTGGGCAACAGAGCAAGACTCCGTCTCAAAAAAAAAAACCAAAAACAAACAAAAAAAAACTTTTAAACAAGACCAGCAAGATACATCACTATTTCAAGATACCATGGGAAATATGTGGCAGAGGACATCCATATATGTACGAAACTTGAGGATAAGGAGGGAAAACAAGTTTAGAAACAGATGTAAGTGTATGTCCTCCTTTAGTTCATCTGCCTAAGAATGTCTGTCCTAAGTTCATCAGAAGAGCTAATGGCAAACATTTAAAACCACCATAATACCAGGCTGGACATGGTGGCTCACACTTGTAATCCCAGCACTTTGGGAGGCTGAGGCAGGAGGATCACTTGAGACCAGGAATTTGAGACCAGCCTGACCAACATAGTGAGATCCCATCTCTATTTAAAAATTTTAAATAAAACTTTAAGCTACCAATAGGCTAGGCATGGTGGCTCATGCCTGTAATCCAGTACTTTGGGAGGCCGAGATGGTCAGATCACCTAAGGTCGGGAGTTTGAGACCAGCCTGGCCAACGTGGCGAAACTCCATCTCTACTAAAAATACAATAATAATAATAATAATAAATAATAATAATAATAGCTGGGCATGGTGGCGCCTGTAATCCCAGTTACTTGAGAGGCTGAGGCAGGAGAATCGCTTGGACCCAGGAGGCGGAAGTTGCAGTGAGCCAAGACCATGCCACTGCACTCCAGCCTGGGTGACACAGTGAGATGCCATCTTAAAAAAAAAAAAAAAAACTGAAAACTACCATAATAGAGAAACTCGGCATTTCCTAAAGCATGCTGCACAGAATACTATTCCACAAGATAGGGATAAGTGTTTTATATACACACACCCACATAGACAAGACACAATAGCCAATGAATTGGAAAAACTGGGTTAACTAAGTTTAACAAGTTTCCTTATTGCAGAACTTCTTGGGGGCCTTTATTTAACATTAATTTAGTATATGGCATTCCCTAACTTATTTTTTTCTTGGATAATTATTTGGGACATGTGTTCTGCAGCACATATTTTGAGAAATTGTGCCCTAACATCATAATTTTTCTTATAAATATACTTCTAAAATGTAGATTCATTTTTAACATACTGTTTTTCATTGAGAGCTAAATTATTAAGTGTTCCCAACATTCTCCAGAAGGGAGAGGAAGTGCTAAGCTCAATGGTGGCCATCAAGTTTCCAAAGCTGAGATCCTCTCTAGGGCAAATCCCACCACACATATACACACACACAACACACACACGATCACAAAAGACAGCAAAACAAATATTTAAGGCCAAATCAGGTCACAGTTCTGGAAGCTGTGGGATGTACCTGGATGTTGTAGCAAGCTCGCTGCTGAACATGTTTCTGTGGCTGGACATCACTCTCCACCCCCAGAGACCTGACCTCTGTCTTTGAGGCACAGGTGTCAGGCACGGAAAACTCAACAGTAGCAAATGGATACCAATCAGAGGGAATTTCTTGGTCTGATCCAAGCTCTAATTTGTATGACAGACAATGAGGATGATCAAGACCTTGAGGAAAGAAAAAATCAAATAGTCAAAGTATTTTAATGGCCATTGAACATTTCTCTTCAACATAAAAGGCATTCATCTCTCTTACTAAGGAATTTCATTAGCACTGCAGCAGTGCAAATTCCATTTAAACAACATACCATGAAAATCTACGATTTTGCACTAACTAGGGGAAAGCTGTCTGCGATTTTTAAGTGCTAGCTTTAAAAGTATGACTTTATTACTGTTTTGAATGAGTGGTAAAAATTTAAAAATAGAAAAAATAAAAAACATATTACTATACGCAGGCACAGATGAACTCCTAAAAACATTTTCAATTAGAAATATTACTAATATTAATTAGAAATATTACTATATTTAGCAGATTATATTAGTATATAATATATAATGTAATCATATTATTACTATATTATAATACTAATATAATCTGCTAAACATTTATATTAAGCAATATTGTTTAATATTAATGTTTAATTTATATTAAACAATATAGTAATATTGCTAAACTTAATTGTTTTCCTTAATTAAAAGATATGAGTAATATTTATATTAAACATAATCATTTGGCCACAATGTGCTCAAGACCTGTACAAGCCTCTTTCTCTTAGACTCACACCTTATAATTATTAATTTATTCATTTTCTTACAATCTATTTATAGATAACTCAAAAATAAACATCCCAAATTAAGTCATATTTTTAAATTCTGATTTTTAAAAGCTAAACTTAACTTTTCAGAAAATGTTCCAGGCCAAGAATTCTTTTTTCAGTGGAACAAATTATTTTTCCCTACTCTAATTCTCACTCATCTTTCCAAAATACTTTGACTGAAACAGCTATAGAGAGTGGAAATGGACATATTGGCCTTGAATATTTTAATCTAATATTGGTTTTCACTCAATTTGTCACTTATTGAGCATCTATGCTATGCCAGGCCAGGTTCAGTGCCAGACCCAGAGATATTGGATACATTCAAAGATTTTAGATGGGGGTCATAGAGTATGTGTGTGTGTGTGTGTGTGTGTGTGTGTGTGTTATAAAGAAATGAAAAATATTTTCATTGTAATCACTGTAGCAGCTTTACAAACATTCTGTGATCCTGTTGCACTGTTCATGGCATCTCCATATCCAATGTGGCTATCTTTACTTAAATAAATGTATGACATAAGAGTAATTTCAAGAACCAAATTAAATTACTGTACCACTGACATAGTTGGAGAAACAGCATTCCCATCAGAATATAGCTTTAGGCACAAAAACAAGAGTTTAAAGGATTTCACTTAATTCTTAAAAGATAAATTACCTTTCCTTCCATACAACCTGTTTCTTGTAGAGTGACTAATAGAATTCTAAGGCTGTAAAAAGCCTTGAGAAGTCATCATCAATCAATTAACTAACAGATGCTCATTAACCATCTCTACCACTTACAGAAAGGGTAGGACAACAGTGGCCTCTGAGGTGCTCTTAACAACCCGGATCACTGCAGGCAAGTGATAACTTCATTCTCATACACACACACCCAGAGAGATTCCACTCCATTACTCTTTCTAGTCCTCTGCCTGCAGTGAGGATACAGTAAGTTCATTTACACTTACTGCAGGCACTCCTCAGTCTTGTTATGGCAAAGTGATTAAGGCTAGGGTTACAAATTGCTTATCTCTCTGAGCCTCAGTTTCTCCATCTGAAAATGTGGATAATGAGGATAACCTGAACCTTATAAGGGCTGTTGTGAGGATTAACCAGTTCATACACATACAGCACTGGGGCAGTAGTATTCTATAGCAATATAGATGAGCTAGATATATTATTTTGTGAAGTGCTATTCAATTATAAAGCCAGAATTATTTAATTACTATAATTTTGCTAATAAAGGGACTGTGAATGCTACATATTCAGAGTCAAAAATTATACTAGACATGATCTGATTTGATACTCACACTTTATAAGAAAAACTTATTTGGGGAAATTTTACGATGAAAACTGAAGAAAAGAACTAACCCAAGTTGAAGACTCAGTGCTACAAAAGTGTCAGAAACAAAACCTTTCTACCTGCTTTTCTTTAAAAATGGTAAAAGAAAGCCTTTTTCCTTTCAAATTTTCCGGCTTATTTTTTATGGCTTTTGAAAATGCTAAATGCTCTACAATGTTTAGTAACACACTCCCTCTTCAGACTTTGTGCTCCATAGGGACAGGTGTCATGTCTGTCCTTAGCACAATGTCTGTCATGTTTGGGGCTTCACGGATTATTTGTCAAATTCACCAATTAATGAATAAAAGATAAAGGAAAATCATGTTATCTCAGTGCTGACCACCAGGGGGAACTGTCCAGCTTTGGTCATTGTTCTCTCAACATCATTCCTTTTCTTAGGACGGGGGATCAGTAAATCACAAAATCTTAGGTCTAGTTGCTATCCAGTCCCTCTTGAACCAAAATATTTTACATCTGAAACTGAACTGTTAGAGGGCTGAAGGGAATGAATAGCAAGAGGATAACAGAAGTGGAGGAGGAGAGAGCAACCAATATGCTGATGACAGGGCAGAGAAAAAAAGAGAAAAGTAGAAAAATTTGGAAATTAGAGGTAGATATATTTAATTGATCCTCCACCACTCTCATTCCTCTTAATAATTCTGTGCCACCATATACACCTCCTCTGGCTAACCAGCATCCTCATTTGTCTTCAGCTGTATTTCTTTTTCTTCCTTTCTCTTTCTGTCTCTATTTCTCTACTACCCCAACAAAGCCTAAGCTCCTCTGCTGTCATTCACACCTTAGTATGAATGAAGTCTGTGAGCTAGTGCCTCAGGCAAACCTTTGTTGTAAAATGAGAGACCTGCCCACTGTTGAAGGAATACTAAACATTGACAAGCTGGTTAGAAGGGACATTAAGGGACCAGTACCCCTTCCCACTTTTCCAGAAATCACAGGTGATTTCCTCAATAAAAAATGTCAATCCTAATCCCTCGAATTCTCAGGAAGGCAAAAAAAAAAAAAAAGTTTTATAATTAGAGCATAGTAGACTAGTTTATATGTTCTTGCCAGGTGCAGTAGTTTACACCTGTAATCCCAGCACTCGGAAAGCCAAGGTGGGTGGATTGCCTGAGCTGAGGAACTCGAGACCAGCCTGAGCAACATGGCAAAACCCCATCTCTACCAAAAATACAAAAAATTAGCCAGGCATGGTGGCACATGCTGTGGTCCCAGCTACTTGGGAGGCTGAGGTAGGAGGATGGCTTGAGCCTGGGAGGTAGAGGTTGCAGTGAGCTGAGATCTCCCCACTGCACTCCAGTGCTATTCATTCTGTTTCCATTTTCGAAGTATCTTTTCAAATAATGCATGTTTTTCAGAAACTATCTTGAAAAGATAAAATTTTAAAGAACTTTTTAAAAACTTTTTCTTCTCTAAATACACAACTGATCTAAAAGTCATATAGAAAAATAGAGATGCACTCTGGGATCCTGCTGTTCTGAGTGTGTTCCTTGGGCCAGATGCATTGGCATCACATCAGCACTTGTTAGAAACACAGTATTTCAGATCCCACCTGCTCAATCAGTATCCACATTTGAACAAGGTGATACCTCGGCACACACAAGTTTGAGAAGCACTGCCTCAGGACAAAGATTTCCTTTCTGCTCCAATCTTATTATTACCATACTTCTCAAGAGGCAAATTAGGTTATAGCCTGCCCTGGCACCCTCTCACTCTCTGCATTGCCCTCCCCACCCCCTCAGTGGAGAAGCTTGGTGCAGGGCCCTGTAATCCCAGTTATGTCCTGCCCCAAGCCAGGCCCACAGCTGCACCATGCCCTCTGGACGCCACCTGACACAGCCCCATTGTGTTTTCCCTGGGCCTCCTCTTTGTGCACAGACCTGATCTCAATAAAGCAGCTGTGATCCCAAAGGATTTGTTCAGTGAATTATCACTGTGTAATTGACTGAAATGCCTGTAAAATGTTGTCCTGTGTGGGCCTGGTGATATGACAGTTTTACAAAAGAATTCCTGAAGGCCAAGATCAGGTTCAGTCAGTTTCCCTGGAAATGCCCATTCTTGTCATTGTTCTTGGTGAGCTCCACTGCTAATAAATACTCATGGGAGGCCGGGCGCAGTGGCTCATGTCTATAATCCCAGCACTTTGGGAGGCCAAACCGGGCAGGTCACGAGGTCAAGAGTTTGAGACCAGCCTGGCCAATATGGTGAAACCCCGTCTCTACTAAAAATATAAAAATTAGCCGGGCGTGGTGGTGCACACCTGTAGTCCCAGCTACTCGGGAGGCTGAGGCAGAAGAATCTCTTGAACCCAGGAGATGGAGGTTGCAGTGAGCCAAGATCATGCCAATGAACTTCAGGCTGGGTGGCAGAGCGAGACTCTGTCTTATAAATAAATAAACAAATAAATAAATAAATACTCATGGGAGAGCAATAACAGAGCTCTAAAAGACACAGGCATATGCAGAGCAGGGAGGAATGATTCCTGCCGAGGGGATCAGGTCAGTAGTTCTCAACCCTGGCTGCATGAGCCTTTAGAAACATCAATACCTGGGCCTCATCTTCACAGAGCCTGATTAGTAGGGGATGGGGCCCAAATATGGGTATGTGTTTGAAGCTTTAATGATGCTAACATGTGACCAGGGCTGGGAAATAGATTGTAAAAGGATAGGTGATGAGAAGATCCCAGGTGATCTCAGCTAATGGCACCATTGCCCACCTATCCACCAAAGCCAGAGCCCCTGACCTTGTCCCATCCCCTCGTTTTCCCTCATGACCATAGAGAATCTATCATCACTGAGGGGCACCTCCTCTGAATTCGCTCACCCATCTCTTGCCTCTCTCACTGCCACTGCCTTTGCTCAGCATCCCTCACCTCCTCCCAACTTCCCTGTGTCTATAATCTACTCCTAAATCTTTCCTCTGCACTGCACGCCGGCATTTCTGAAACAAGATATGATTCTGTAGCAGTCACGCCTGAAAACAACCCTGAGGCCCTGTTGACAGGTAAACTTCACACCCCACAGCACGGCCCACAAGGTCTTCATACACTGGTCTCTTCACTCACCACTCCCTCAGCCCCAAAACTTAGGTAAGAGCCCCCACCTACACACCTGTGGTTCTGCTGTTTCTTTCTTTGATGGAAACTCTATTGACTCTCCTAGCCATCAGCTCTTAAGCGAAGCCCTCCCTAGTCCCCAGGCAGTTTATCACACTTTCCTCTGGGATCCCTAAGTGCGTCTGTTTGTCTAAGCCTGGAGCTGTGCACTTTTCCACAGTGCATTTGGGTGGCTGCTTCAGCGTCGGTCCCACCTTCTAGACTGTTAAGCTTCTGATAGAGTAGGAATCATGTCTGTGTCTGTATCTCCTAAACACTCAGCACAGAGCCTATACCTAGAAGAAATTTCGCAGATGTTTGTGGAGTAAATGAGTGAGCCTCCTTCTCAATAAAGTCTTGTTGATTGAATCAGTTAACTACCCCATTAACTCTGAAAAAAAATGCAGTGTTATAAACAGGATCATTTTCACAAAAAGCTTCATACATGTCTGCACTCCCAAAGTTAGAAAAGGTGATTGGTATGGTTTCTCAGTTTGAAAATTAAATGTGGTTACCCTGGCCAGGCTTTAGCCAAGTGCTTAGTTCCTTCAGGGCCTCCCGGAGCACCTGCTCTAAGTAGAGCAATAGGAATGGACTACAAAGGGGGCCTGTGCTCTTGTCCCTCTGACACCACGTGCACAAGCCCACAGCCTGAGCCTATTGTGCTTCTCTCTCAAAAGCATAATTACCACTTCAAGTCTATGCAAAAACTGCTTTGGACCTTTTGTTCCAGTCCCTGTGACCATCTCTAGGATCAACAGAAAACAACAGGAGTTAGTTTATCACCCAGATTTCAGGGGAAACCTGCAGATCCAGGAGGTTCCAACAGGCATTCCAGCCTGCCTGACTTTCTGCCTGCCTCTCTTTCCCTTTTTGTTTAGCAAAACGAAAGCTAATACTCTGATTTCGTTTAAACCCTCTAACCTAAAACTAGCACAAATAACTTTTAGAATAGACCATTTGGAACCTTGTATGAAGACCTGCAAACTGGTTTCTCTGGCATGAAGATGCAAATGGTTCAATTTGCCTCTCTAGCTAAGTTATAAAAGAAAGCAAGGGCCAGGCACGGTGGTTCACACCTGTAATCCCAGCATTCTGGGAGGCCGAGGTGGGTGGATCACCTGAGGTTGGGAGTTCGAGACCAGCCTGGCCAACATGGTGAAACCCCATCTCTACGAAAAATATAAGAAATTAGCCAGGTGTGGTGGTGTGGGCCTGTAATCCTAGCTACTTGGGAGACTGAACCACTAGAATTGCTTGAACCCAGGAGGCAGCGGTTGCAGTGAGCACCACTGCACTCCAGCCTGGGCAACAGAGCAACACTCCATCTCAAAAAAAAAAAAAAAGAAGAAAGCAGGAAACATTATCTCAGTGGATTATATCATGGTATCATGGAAGATACCGACCTTCCCTCCCATCACAGCAGAGTTGATCAGAATGTGCTGTTTGAGGCCATTCACTGTGACCACGCTGCACCATCACCACCTCACTCTGCCCTAAGGCTGAGCTATCCTTGCTAGTTTGGGGGAACTGAACATAATTAATGTGATTCTTGAGAACGCTGTGGGGTGAAATTTGGCATTAATGAAGAAGGGTGTGGGCTGTCAGGAAGAAAGACAATGTAGGAACTTCCCTTCCGCACAGGATCCTGGAGCCCCTCAGCTCACCACGCCTGTGTCTCTCGCCTGAAGGATCCTGCCCATAGCTCAAGCTCTCATCAGTCAACAGACGTTAAACCAACAAACAGAGAGTCATGGACACGGTCCCATGGCCTCCAGGGTGCGGGCAGTGATGCCCCTCAAGTCAATTGTAGTCTGGGGCTTGCTCTTCTGGTTCTACAACTTTACAACACCTGGAGAGCAGTGTTCTTCCCTCTGGCTACACCTTATATCTAGAGAGATCTTCGAACAAATACCTGGCTCCCTCCCCCAACCCCTGCCAGAGATTCTGGTTTAATTAGCATGCAGTGAAGCCTGAACATTGAGATTATTTAAAAGCTTTCAAGTTATTCTAATATAGTCAGGTTTGGCCAGGCATGGTGGCTCACACCTGTAATCTCAACATTTTGGGAGGCCAAGGCGGGTGGATCACTTGAGGTCAGGAGTTCAAGAGCAGTCTGGCCAACATGGGAAAACCATGTCTCTACTAAAAATACAAAAATTAGCCAGGCGTGGTGGCTCATGCCTGTCGTCCCAGCTACTCGGGAGGCTGAAGCCAAAAGAATCACTTGAACCTGGGAGGCGGAGGTTGCAGTGAGCTGAGATCACACTGCACTCCAGCCTGGGCAACAGAGTAAGACTCCATCTCAAAATAAAAATAATAATAATAATAATATAGCCAGGTTTGAGAAATACTGCCATAAGGCCACCCCAAAGAAAAATGCTTCCTCTGAAGTCCACAGCCTGGAGGGTCCTAGATGAGCTAGATGAGCTTAAATTTCTCTGAAGGACTACAGCAGCTATGAGCCATCTGGAAACAGGGATCAGATTTTTTTTTATCTTTACCCCCAGCACTTGATGTGGCACTTGGTACACAGTAAGTGCTCAGTAAAGATTTGGATGGATGGGCCAGGTGCAGTGGCTCACGCCTATAATCCCAGCACTTTGGGAAGTCAAGGCGGGAGGAACACAAGGTCAGTTTGGACGACACGCTGGCCCCAATTAATGGTGGAAAACCTATGTCGGGTTCTACTAAAAAACAATAACATAAAAATTAAAGTTTGTACAAGTATCAAAATGAGTGGTGGACGTGCCTGTAAGTCCAGCAAGGAAATCTCGGTGAGGCTGAGGCAGGAGAATTGCTTGAACCAAAGAGGTGGAGGTTGCAGTGAGCCGAGAT